CAACGTCTTTCCGTTTAAGTTTGTACTTTTTTTATGGTCATTTAGACTAAAAATTTTTGCTATCATTTTGTTTAGTTGAATGATAATAAAAATAACAGGTAATAATATAACTAATAATATTTTTTGTCCCTAATTTTTCAGATGGTGCGTCAATGACAGAGGTGCAAATGTCATCTTGGCAGTTAAAAAAAGCTTGCAATTGCAAACAGAAATTATATGTGCTAATCACACTTTGCACTTAATAGTGACAAAAAGCATTGCAAACATGAAACTGACCAAAGAGTCTGTCAAAAAATGTGGTGAGTTGGCTGCACATCTGCACAGAAGCACATTGTCATGTACAAAACACAAAAAAGCTTGTGCTGACTTAAAAATCACCTAAAAAAATGTTATTTTACCTTGCAAGACTAGGTGGAACAGTCAGTTTTTGAGTGTAAAGTCAGTCGGTAGGGTCTTGAAATGTTACTCCAAGAAGAACACCCATTTCAGGACAAAGTTCCATCTCACACTCAGTTTCAGATTCTAAAGAAAATTTTGCCTGTTCTTCAAAAGTTCTATGATTTTTCTGTTAACATTTCTGCTGACAAAACACCCACAGTTCATCAAATGATCCCAGGCATCTTCAATTTGGATACTTCTGATAGGTAACTTCTGACTTTATGTTTTCAATTTTGATAGGTAACTTTTGACTTTATGTTTTCAATCATTATAACTGGTTTGTTTTTTATTTTCATGAACCTAAAATTGAATTGTGTTTTATATTTAAAACTAAATTAACCTTATACCCACATTTTGTATTTTCTTGAAATTAGCTACGTATGTGTTTACTTATTTACTATTCTTTGTGCGTATATCTATGTCAATATCAGACTTGCTGACCAAAAGAATGAAGAATATCTGAAACAGTTAATAACAGTTATGGATGTGCAATTTAAAAAATACTATGAAGAAGATGGCATGGAGAACACCACCTATGAAATTGCTCACATGCTATACCCAGTCTTTCAAGGCAAACTCCTTAAAATAAAGCATGACAGATATGAACTGAACAAAGTATGCATCCAAATTGAACATCATCTAGACTCATCTGCTAAATAAATTGAATCACCCTTACTTTTGGAGCGAACACCTACTAATATTCTAAATTCTGACAATATTGACTTATCCTACCAAACTTAGGATACATTAACTCAAGATGATCTATGTTTCAAATCGAAATCCAAAAACATTTCTGACATTCAATCAGAACTAGAAAATATCTTTTATCACCATTAGTAGCGAAAAAAACGTTGATGTTTTACAGTGGTGGAAGAGCATGGCACCACAATATTCAAAGCTGTCATCCGTTGTCAGGAAAATCTATCCCATTCCAGGTTCATCAACTTTTTTAGAAAGAGTCTTTTCTGCAGCTGAACAAGTTGTCACTTGGACCCGAACAAATCTTAACAGCAACAGTGTAGAAAAGCTTGTTTACATTACACATAACTATCCTAAAGTGCAAAAAAAAATTAAAGTTATAAGATAAACTTTAACTCGTATTATTTTCTGCAATTTGCTGAAAATCAATTATTACTTGCATTCTTTTAATATTATTAAATGCATGTTAATTTGGCTAATGTATAATAAGTTACTCAGTAGCTAGAGTTCTGGCTCAGAACCCAAAGGTCTAAAGTTCGAGGGCGACTCTAATAAAAAACAACACTGATAAAAAAGGAAGTGGAACTTCAACCCCCCTAGCCAGTCCGAGTCTGGCTCTATGTGCTAATAAAGAAGTTTGTTAATACACAGGAGCAGACGGTACAAATTGTAGCATAGTGGTCATCAGAGTCCAGTTTTATCCAACCATTTAGTTCACTGTCTGTTAGCCATTCTTTACAGAATGCCAGGCTTTCGATTTCTTATGCGATGGGGTCTTTGGTGCCGTGTCAATAGTTTTTCTGCTTTCCTCGTTGCTCAGTTTTTACTTATACTAAATAACTTATTAAAATTTTAAAAATGTATATTAGTATAAAACTAAAATAAAATCAAAAAAACAAATCAAATTAAAATCAAAGAATAACAAATCGTTTAACAATTAAAGTTTTATTAAGTAAAGTTTAGAATTCGAATTTTTGAATTAAAATTCAAATATCAAACTTAAAATATTCTTAAACTGTTGATTAAAGACGATTGCGCAAACCGACAACCAAATATAAATCTTAATTTTATCAACTAAAATCCCGAAAACGAAATATACCTAGATTTGGCAATATTTTGTAAAAAAGAAAACACAGAAACCTAGACAGGCGTAAAAAAAACCCAGATCTAGTGAAAAAAGCCCAGATGTGGTAACACTGGATATAAATATAAAATCAAAATTTGAAGACATTACCGAGAAATATTAACAGGCAAATAGAATCGTTACAAACGAATAAAACAATAATAAAAATTATGATACCGTAAATAGCATAAAAATAATAAGTAAATAAAACAAACAAGATTGACAAATTTGTATTATAATAAACAGTTTGTTTATTTAAAGATGGGTCTTCCCATTAAATATGAAGTGCTTCTTTAATTTTCAATTTGTTTTTGTTAGGAGACTGGGTACTAGGTATCCAAAATTTTAAAACAATTACAATTACTTAGATTTTTACAATTAACAGATGAAATTAAATGCTTATAAACATTAGATTGTTTGTCACTTGTAAGATGGTCATGAATCCTTGTTGTTAAGTGTCTGGAGGTTTCTTTAATATAACTGGCATTACATCGAGCACAAGAAAACTTGTAAACAATATTGGATTTGAGCAGCTTATGAAGTGAACCTTTTATACATAAACTGTTTTGTAATTTGATGGTAGTGAAAATTAAATTATGACATCTTTCCAATTTTTTTTTATGATTTTATTAACTTTAGATTTAGTAAAATATAAAATATTTTACATAAGGGTTATCAATTATATTTATAACTGATGAGTTTAACTTTTTATCAACATTTAATTTAATTTTAGTATCAATTATTTGGTGGATATTGGTTGTTTTTTAAAACATCAGATAGATTATTAGATTTGTTTATTTAAAACATCAGATAGATAATGTCTTCAAATCTTACACTGGTGATTTAGGTGACACACAAAGAACCGATAAATATATTATCGGTTCTTTTGTGTGCCTTTTATCATAACGACTAAGTACGTCTAAGACATTCAACAATCTGAAATTTGAATTTGTTAAGTTTACTTTGGTTAACAATTATCCTTAAAAGAAAAAGGAACATTTATTATTATTGTAATGATTTGGTTAATTATATATATAATAATACTCGATTATATTACTGAAAACAAGCATAGAAAGAAATTTTTTTTCTGTGAGACTTCAAGCAGGTACAAAACATTTGTTAAACGCATTAAGTACATTGTACAGACTTGTAACGTTTATAAGACGTTCTATAGACGTCTTACGGACGTCTGTGCCCCCTAGATTGAAGCAAATTGATTTATTGATAATTCAAAGACGATTTCAGCAAGCTCATGTACAACTTAAATAAATGCTACTTCAGAAAAACATTTTTTTGTCATTTTTGATCACCGATTATTTTTGATAATCTTTAGTTTACTAAAACTTCTCTCATTATAACATATCGGGTACAGAATCCGTGACATCTATAAAACGTCTTATTAACGTCACAAGCCCGTAGAACGTCTTTAAATTGTCCATTGGGCGTTCTGCGCCTGCTGGAAAGCAGATATTAGAGTCAAGTTGACTTTTCAGAGTATAGACAAGTTAGCAAAATATGTCTTTTATTTCTCAGCTAAGAATGGATGTACGTCTTTTATTTGTATTTCAGTTGTTATTGATACAGATATTGATGCATGCACATCCTTTAAAGTAGGGTCGGTACAAGTAGGAAGGGGATGCCTTATAAAATTTTGCCAGAAAACATCTTAATCACATAGAAAAAAAACGTTGAAAATTTTTTTTCTTCTTAAAAAAAAAAGTTGTTTATCGTTTGCACAGTCATTGTAGTTTTGTAAACATCCATCACTATACAGTCACACTAGTTTTTAAGCGCGCGAGCACAGGGGCACCTCCTACCCTATACTGAGTTTACCACTGACACGAGTACAATACAAAGTGCTTTTTAATTTTAACGTCAAGCACGGCTTACAATTTGATTGAAATTATTTTGAAAAAACTTGAAGTTGCTTTGTTAATTCAAAGCACAACTACAGTGTTTTACCAATTCGAACCAAAAGTAGCATATCAAAATCTGTGATCGTTTTTTTATCGCATTAGCAAAAATAATAAAAACAACCTGATGGAAAATTAACTTAGTTTTAAACCGTGTTTAGCATTAAAGCAAGTAAAACTGAGATATGGGTTTCTGCCTACAATAGCGAAGAAAAAATTATTACTTCACCCTATCTCCCTCATGCCTAATATTTTTTATTTGCTAATAATAATACACACACTAAAAATTTTTGTTCGTCCTTGGGAAAACTCCAAAACCCACCACTACGTAATATATTTAAGCAGTCAAACAAAAGTGCTTATATTATCCAGACCACTTGGTAATATGAGCACTTTAAATTAGCTCAAAAAATTAACATTAATTAAAAAAATTCCAACCTGTCAATTAGAACTCGTTTTTGGAATATAATAATTCGTAATTAACAAAAATTAAATTTTAAGCCACTTTTTGTTGAAGCAATACTATGTTTTCCGTAAAAAAAAAAAAAAAAATTAGTTCGTTATTTTTTCAATTTTTTCTTTAACATTTTTGAGTTTTTCTCTGACATTAGTGAGTTTCTCTAACAATTTTGAGACTCAAAATTTTTTCTTAAACTTTTTATCAAAACAAAATTTTTTAATTTTTGATAAAACCATATCAAAAATTGAAAAATTTTAGCTATTCAAAAATGCGCATTTGACTGCAAGCCACACTAGAATTAAATTGTTTTATTCGTGTTCTATAAAAAAAATTCCCACCCACTATTTAAAATTCCCACCCACTCCATTAAGACTCCATACATACTGTTTTTAGTTCTGATCTGATCTGAAACGAGGGTTTATCAGATCTGAACTAAACCCCTCCCCCTCCCTCCTTCCTTCTTTTTGTATTAAGTACACGAGAGTACAACCAATGAAATTGTTTTCTTTCGGAGAATAACTTTCGGGCTTCAGGCTTTACAAATTTTCAGTTGTTGCTTTTGATCTCTTGCTTTCTTGTTTCTTCTTTGATTATATCTTTTGATTTTTCAACTTTAAGTTCAACAATAGTCTAAAGAAGAAAAAAATTTCTCACCTTCCTGTTCTGTTTTAATTGTTAAACTTCTAATTTCTCAAGTTTTTAACTTAGTAACACGTTGTGATAATTTTTTTTAGTACTTTATGTTTGAATATAAGTATTTATGTTTGCATATAGGTATTTATGTACGTAGATAGGTAATTATGTTTGTATATAAGTATTGATTTTCACTTTATGTTTGTATATAGTAAATAGTGAAGGTAATCTTTATTTGCTAATTTTGCCAGTTTAACTACAATTTACTTTATTTTTGTCTTAGGTTAATAATTAGAAAATATATAATACAAAATAAGTATACAAAATAACAATCAAAATTAATGAATACCTTTAATGGAAACTGAGGAAAGTACTTAAACACTGCATAGTGGTAAAACCAATGAATGTTAATGTTCTGAAAATGAATGTTCTGAAAAATGTCCTGAAAAATAATGTTCAGAAAATGAATGTCCTGAAAAATAATGTTTTTAAAATGAATGTTATGAAAAATAATGTTCTGAAAATGAATGTTATGAAAAATAATGTTCTGAAAATAAATCTTATAAAAAAGGTCTAAAAAAAAGTCAAGTTCTAAAATGGGGCATCCGTAAAGTACATATGTAGAAAAACCACTGATTTAGGAGCTCCTTCCCTTTGTACGCATCCTTCTGCATATGCATGCATTCTTTATTTAAAAATTTCACTCTTTTTCCAAAGCATAATTTTTTTTTAAATATTAAAAACAAAAAAACTTTTAGTTTACGACATTTGTCTGTTTCATAATAAAATATTAATTTTTTAAACTCGTGAAATTCAATACTTTTGTTAAAAAGAAGGAATCTTTAGGAAAGATAAAAAACAAGAAATAGTCAAACCATGTATGTACTCGCTGTATTTAGCTACCCAATCCTCTTTCCTCCTCGTATGCATTCGTACATGTTTGGGCAACCCCATTCCTCCCTGCGTACACACTTTATGGATGACACCAAAGTTTTTTTCAAAATTTCATTAAATTTTTTTTTGAAAAAACTTAAAACATTGTAAAACAGCTTTATTCAAAAATTATATATTTGTGTGTTGTCAGTATAGAAAATAAAAACACTAAAAACAACAAAAACTCAAGACTTGAACATTTTTTGTGTAATCTCATTTTTGAAATTAGTTACATATAAACTAGGTAATATAAATTATAACTTTAACCTTATAACTTTTTCCAAACTCTCAACAAGTGTTGCGTTTTTCAAGAATATTTTTCTGAATAGTTCTGAATAGTTGCGTCAAGAATATTTTTCTGAATAGTTCTGAATAGTTGCGTCATTCAAGAATATTTTTCTGAATAGTTCTGTCTCAAAAAAAGTGTAAATGTAAAAAAATTTTATTTACAATTATTGTATTAGAAAAAAGTTATAACCCTCTCAACTTCTCAAAATTCTGAAAAATAATGACAAATGAAGTTAAAATGACAAATTGCTAAATGAAGTTAACTCTATCATCCTTCTATTCATCAAAAAGTCTTAACAAGTTAGTTTTTTAATAAACTACTTTCATCTGCAATAGTTTTTCCAACACTTTGTTTAGATTTAAGATTAACAGCAGATAAAACCAGTAGACCCAGCTACATGAAAATGCAAATATTTTTTAACTAGTTATGTTTAAAACAAATAGGAGCATTTTTTAACAACCTTATTTTTCAATTATAATTTGAATGCATTATTGGAAACCAGTGCCACTGGCTCCTAATTATGCAAAACTTTAGTTACAAGTAGGTTATCATATTTTATTATAAAATATTTTTCATTTTATTCACACTACAGTCGAGAAGGTTTTCTTTTTTTTTTTTCTCTTTTCTTTTTTTTGTTGTAATTCTCTTAATCTTTTATTTTCCGTAACATAACTTTTGATTAATTTTTTTTTTTTTTTTTTTTAATTTATTTATTCACCTCCCCAAGGCCCGAGGGGGCCACTACAGTCGAGGAGGCTACTCATTTTTTTTTTTTTTTTTTTTGTAAAATTAGCGCATATAAGTGATTATTTAGCAATAAATTACAAGAAATATAAATTATATATATGACCACAATTATAAAATGAAAATTAGTTAGCTGGAACAGTATTTTTTGAAGTTGACAGAGTTAGCTTTAATTTTAAAGCTCTCTGGGCGATTTTGGCATTAACGACATAAGACGGCAATTTAAAAAAATATCACTAAAAATATCATAAAATGTTGAGTAGGTAGGTTAAAAGCGTAGGTACCTTTAGGGAGGTGGAGGGTATTCGAAAAAACGTATTTCAAAATGCAGGGGAGAGGGGAAGGTCAAAATAAAAGCGTACATACTTTACAGACGAGCTCTAATTCCAAATATTAACAACCTATTATTATTATTATTACTATTATTACTATTATTATTATTATTATTATTATTATTATTATTATTATTATTATTATTATTATTATTATTATTATTATTATTATTATTATTTAGTATTGTGAAACTTGATATATCAAGCCAAACTTAATTAGCGCAAATCAACCAGCGTTATTTTGTGAAAAAATAATTCACCACAAGAGACTTCTAAAGCTTTTATTCCACCTTTTTAATATGGACTTGGTGCCGGGTACTGTCGCTGGAATTTTGGTCCGCGAAAATTTTTATCTCGGACCAATATTTTCGTTGAAATTTTTGGTCCAACCGAATAAATTTTTGTGATAATTTTGGTCCACTTTGAAAAAAATGATCCGTGATAATATTTCAAAAGTTTTGAAAACGGACCAAAATTTTTAGTAAAATTTTTGGTCCGTGTAAATCAATTTTTGATTTTTTAACTTAAATTTATAAATTGATAAAAAATTTAGACATAATAAGTGTAAAATAGTAAAATAGATATGATCATAGTTTTTTAACAAGTTGTTAAATCTTTCTTTAGGTTTTATGAAATCAATTTCTTCAAAAAATAATGGTTGGTTCATTTATACTCTATGATCTTTCATAGCTTTTTCATATTTAATAGATCCATAGACCCGGCATAGTCACATCTTATTGTACTTCTCGATTTGAAGGGCTTTGAATGTCTGCTTGCATGAAACCCGCGTTACTTATGTGTAGAGTAAGGTGTAGAGTAAGGTAGTAACCCGCGTTACTACCTTACTCTACACATGATACCAGTGGCCTGGACTGGGTGTATATATGTTACCGGCCATAAAAATAATTAAAGGGCCCTCCCGTCTATACATATATCGCAAAGACTGCACGGTCCACAATTTTCTAAAAATAAGTCTTGAGACAATTAACTCACAGAATATTAAAATTAGATTGAATTAAAAAAGTACAAGTGATGTGCAATTTCCGCAGTGCAAAGTATAGCAATAACTATTCTTAAAACAGTTTGCTCAATTCAGAGGACGAAGATGCATATCTTAGAATGATTGTATCATACTCAAGGCTATCAAGTAGACTTTTTTCTAAAGACATCAACATATACAACTCTAAGGGGTCATTCGACATTCAATTTCGCAATCTTGTCTTGATTAACTTTAAATAAGAAAACGATCTTTCGCCTTCGGTTTGTGTTACAAAATTTATATATATTTTTTTATAATTATGATACAAATTGTCATAGGTTTTGTCGTTGAGTCTATATGCAGCGAGAAATCGTAACACACAAGATCGACACGATCCTTTATTAGTATTTTGATAACAACGCGGTTAATCGGGGTCAACCTTTTGATCGGCATTCTCTCTCAATGTTGTCGTTAATGGCAAAGATAATTTCAAAATCTCATAGTTAATCACAAATGAAAAAAGTTTTGCCTATATTTTATCAACGTCGGCATCTGGTAAAAATTTGATAATGCTATTTATCTAATTATGTAAACTGGGTAAACTGTTTTCAGAAATTCTCGAAATGGCAAGATCGCCAAAATTTGATGCATCAAAACATGCCATGTCCATATATAATTGTCAATGTGAAGTGAAACCTGATTCAAGACTTTGGACTATCTGATCCATCACCGCGTTGTAAGTCCAAATTCTGTAGGGTTCCAAAGCTTTAGATTCCTCATGTATGTTTATCTAACATATTGGTGTCTTCCGCTTCCGTTTAACTGTTAGTTCTATCTTCACCTCTAATATGGTTTCAGTTTTCTGGATGATGCTTGCGTTTGCCATCCGTACAAATTGAAGAGCGTTATTATGAACATCATCAAAAAATCTTGATTGACTTTTTAATTCAATTGCAGCCTTATCCACCATCTTAAATGCAACCAACACATTTAATCCACGAGTTTGCAGGAATATTGAAAGTTGTCCCACTTTTTCAAAAATTTGCAGGTAAGTAAAGGCAGTAAAAATGGTGTCGAATTTCGGGAATGGCATAAGGAATGTCTTAGTTTCATTACGTGTTTTTGCATCAAAATTTTCTGATTTGCTTATAAATGACACAAAAAATTAAATTGATAAACACTGTTGAAGATGGCTCAGGAAATGTTCCAAATATCGCCGTTGCAGCATCTGATTTACCCGACCACCTTATTTCACCAATCAATTTCAATCTTTTCATCTTATCCATTTCCATTTGTGTTTTAACAAGTTTAATCCAAGTCGCCATTTGCTTATATGACACTTTTATGAATGTTGAAACATTTTGCAAAAGGTTAAAAAATGAAACTGCTTGAATGCAGCAACTGGTTGCCTTCTTCACAACTAAGTTGAGAACATGAGCATAACACCAAATATGTACATGGTGGTCTGCAGCTTCTGTAATTTTTTGTTGCAGTCCGTTGTATTGACCATGATAACTTGAAGCACCATAAGTGCTGTCCGATAGGCAGTATTGCAAATTAAAGCCAAGCCGCTTTAGCGTCAAATTAAAGAGATCGAATTTGCTTTGGCTAGTACCGTCAGTGCTTGGTAAAATAGAAAGCAGCCGTTCATGAACAGTAGCATCTAAAACATAGCAAACGAAAAAGCTGAATTGGTCAATTGCAGATATATCTTGTGCAGAATCAACTTGTAAGGAGTACACTTTTGCTTTGGACACTTCCATTGCAATCTGTTCCTGTATCATGTTTTTTATAATATTGAGAAGCTTTGATATAGTCTTACATGAAAACGTCACCAGAGCACAGCGACCTTTACTGCCGGCTTTACCTTGACGTTTCAGTTTTTCTATCCTTTTGATTAATTTCTCTTGACACATGGAGAGATAAGAAGCTAAAAGTGCGTCATATTTGGCCAAGAGCTGGACCAAAGCCAAATTTCCATGATTTTTTTCATCATGAGGTGCTTTAAGCTAAGATAAAAAGTGTTATTTATGTGTTAGATAAACATTAATTTTTTCAAAATTTATAGGCCAATGTTCAGAACATACAACAGTGTATTTGCTTTTAGGAATGTTGCTTCTTGCCACTTTCTACGTTCTTCTGGATCTTTTGGTAATTTGTAAACAGCACACTTTTTTATCTGTTAAATAATTAGTAGAGCAATTCGCAACACTTTTCACTTTAAAGGCATAATAAGCCTCAAGAAATTTTTTTTTTTCTAATTTTAAGCAACGTTATTAACCTTCGGTAAATATTTAAGAGTTAATCGGCCTCCAGTTATTTTTACGGTTTGCACGATTAATAGGCCTGTGTTTTAGATAGCCGTCAATCTATCCATTAAACTTGGTTTATCTAATCTTGTAATCTATCCATTAAACTTGGTTTATCTAATCTTGTAATCTATCCATTAAACTTGGTTTATCTAATCTTGTAATCTATTCATTAAACTTGTATCGATAAATGCGCTTAGCAAATAGATTAAGGGGATCTTGTAAGCAAGCAATCGCACACTTTTAAATTTTCTACACATAATTTTATTAAAATTGTATTTTATTTAGACAGCCTAATTATATTACTTCCGTTTTTAAACCTTTATGTACTACATTCAAATCATTTTAAACATATTTAAAATCTAAGGTTATATTAAGCAAAAAATTAAAATAATATCATCTTAAGTTTAATAAAAAATATTATTATTAACATCACAAGTACAATATATCGACAAAAACATTAAACTGATACAAAACTACAATATATCGACAAAAAACATTAAACTGCAACGTTACCAGTTAATAAAGTGTTTTTACCTTAATTATGTTTAAGTCAATTTCTTTTCTTTAACTATTGGCTAATGATCAATATAATAAATTTCAAATCATTAAAATTTACCATATTGAAACCATATTTCAACAGTAGGTAGTTCAATGAAATTTAAACAAAAGGTAGAACTAAAGAAATA